TTCTTTGTTACATAAAATCAGTTCACATAATTTACACTTTATTACCGTAGTTATCACTTTATAAATACTCGCTTATTATACGAACTGGAATAAAATAACTAACTATTCGTGTCCCACTAAATATGAACCAGTTATTACATATCTCGTTAAGACCAGAAATATCGCAATATTGTTCTAGGCGTAAAAATAATAATTATATAAAGTTTCAATTTAAAATCGTTATGGTGAAGAAGAGCCTGTTAGACAATTGATGGATGTTCCATCGTGATTGTCACATGCGCTGCAAGGTCGAAAATTATCCATTATTTGCTGGATACATATGGAAACTACAGACTTCAATTAAAAATGCATTAGAATTTCACATGGCGTTTAACCATATGATGAATTAGTAGTACGTTATGGTTGATAGATACAAGGTAATGTTTAGGGAACCATTCATTCGAATCGTTTACCTTCAAATGCTTTGATTCGAAATTGACGATTTTTCGTAACGGTTTTTCTTTATGGTTTACTGACCGACATTTTTGTTTCTATTGTGGGATTTATACCATTGGATTTTCACGCAAAAAGTGTTTTTTAATCAAGTGTGAATTGAGCTTGGATTAGGCTGAATCGTTTTTTTTTATATTTGCTTTCATTATTTAATTTCAGCTTTTTTTAGAGCCTTAAATTTTTGGCTCCATTTGATTTTGTCTTGACACTATCAATCACTTCCGGTAAGATTTTGTTCAGTCCATATAAAATAATTTATTTCTGACGCTTCGCAAATACGTCCGAGTCGCTGTGCCCTCAAAGTTGGTTTGCTCGACGTCAAGAAAAAGATAAAATCCCGAAAAACTCACCAGTTTTTAGCAATTGTCGCGCAACCAACACCAAACGCATCTATTGAATTATATTTTTCGCAACATTCAAGCTTCAGCCACTTAAAACCACGTTTACACTATTTTCCTCCTTTTTTAAACTGAATATTTCGCTAAGACTGAAATAGAGCAAATGCGCATCAATTATTTGTTTTTTCAATGTTTTGCTGATACTTTGCCAATTGGGCATGTTAAAGATTCTTATTATTTCCGGCTGAATGATTAGTGACTAAATCAAGTTTTTGTTAAATTTAATTTCATAAACGCCTGTCACACGATTCACGTAATCAATTGGCAAAATGTTGAAATTAAAATTCCAGAGCAGCAATTTTTAACACCTAAGGTTCAAATCAATTAGTCGACATTGCTTGGCGTCTATAATGAAATGACGTAACATGTTTGAAAATAATATTATCATATTTAAAAGATATAAAAAGTGCCCACTCTTGATAGTGAGCTGAGTTTTTTCACCTAATTTTGACGGTCTAGTTCTGTAATATGATCGGTCTTATAGACATAATCAGCACGCAGCAGGTTTCGATAACAAATATCTTACTTGAATTATGCAGGTTGCCTTGTTATAATTCGAGTGAGGTAATAAGGGAGCGCAAAGACATGATTTATAATGAATTTTAATAATCTGGGCTCTCGTCAATTAAAAATTCATACGTTATTAATTAGGAGTCGGTAGATACAAGAAATAGCAAGTTCCTCATAGATGCGGTTCTTAGACACGAAACTTTGCATTTTAATTAGAAGATTACATAACAAGGCTCGATGAACAACAAATTAATTCATTTGAAACTCGAACTTTAAAGTAGAGTTGAGGAGGTAGAATATATGGTCACATTTCGGTGTGCCCAAAACATTGACTTAATTTCCCAAAATGATAATTAGCTAATATAACATGTGTGTTATGGGTATATTTATTTCATTTAGATGTAATTTTCTGCTTTAATATCAGTCAACAACTATCAGAACATAATCCTACTGTATGTACGAAGGCGTGTTGTGGATTGTATCAAATTTCAAACAGAATAGTGGGCTGCAGGCGGTTTAGATTACATATCCGTCTACTGTATCATTAATAGTTTTGGTATCAGTGACAAACTCACAATCAACTATGTTAATTCCCTCAGAATTGTTTCACTCTATACTAGTTCTCTTATAGAACATGCTATTCGTAATTGACGTGGTTTTCATATTACACACGCACTTATTCTTGCATCATTAATCACCGATTCACTGCAAAGTTGCATTGAAAGATGTAATCAGTTGCTTCTGTATACATAAGTAGATACTTATGTTGCTTAGAAATATGATTCGATGTTATGTCGATTTGGCTTCTATGTTTTTTACCGTGCAATGTTCAAATTTGAATCAATTTTCCCTTAGACTTGAGTGAAAATTGTGTAATATCAAATCCCTGCTCGAATTGTCTATTTTTTCTTGAAAACAGTAAAAAAGTACATGATTTACTCCTGCTGACTGACGCTCGACTAACAAAGCTCGTAATATTCAGTAAAATTTATTTGAATAGCATGAAATAAAGCTGTAAAATAGAGCTTCTATTATGAAAAACATGAGGAGTTTGTCCAAGGAACCAAGCTGAATTCCTATTTTATAAAAATACGTTCATTTTACTAACAAATTGCTAATTTACGTCAAGGGAACTTTGTACCTTTTTTGTTTTGTTTTTTTTTTATTCAAAGCAAAATAATAACTAGGTACCCAATAATTAATTTAAAAAAAAATCTTAGGTTTTATGAAGCGAATGCAAAAACACTATTGTCTCTACCGTTTGAAAATGAACATTTTCAGTTTCAAATTTATATTATTTTTAAAAAGATTTTCGAATTAAAACTAGGTAACGATTATTATTTGAAAAATCCGAGTAGGTACATCTGATCATTTCTGTTGCGTTTATACAGTTACAACTGGCTAGTATCTTATCTAAATATTCGTAAATATTTAATTTCCCAACTATGTGACCCTAAATGTATGGAAAAAATATTTTTTTATTAAATTTATAGAACTTTGACGCAGATATTTAGCATTTTATAGTTTGTAATCGCTCAAATATAATGTTATGCAAGTAAACAGGCATTATTTCTGCTGTTATACTTTGGGTAAAAGTTGCAAAAAATGGTGGTTTTATGTGGCATTGTCAACTACAAATGTTTCTTTGCAGCAAATACTTGATATGTGTCTTCCAATTTAGGACTGCGGACATGCATTGCATTTGACGTGACTAATTGTTTTATTTATGCAATTCCGATCTCGAAACTGCAAGTATTATCAAATCTGTCCATTGCATATTGTATGCATCGATTGATCACCTGAGTTGATTTAATTTTTGATTTCCCCTCAAATATTTCATCGCCATTTGAAGCACGAACTAAATATACTCGACATGAAAAAATTCAATCACCTTTTTGCATTGACGCTATACTTAAAAAAAATCGCCAAATAAATACAAGAATTGATTTTATTATAATCCAGACAGGCCAGACGAATGGATTTCAATTCAACGGGTAAACCGTTTTATTGAAAAGCCCTTAAGTCGCCTTCATCTTTTTGACCTCTTTTTTTGCTTTGAATTTTCTCAATATGTCCTATTATGGGTTTAGATCATACTGGTCACTGTGAAAAGGGCCGGAAATAAATAGAGTATTTTCTTAACATTGGCGATATTGGAACTTTTTTATGAACCTGTAACTGTTTTGATTTGAGTTCAGTGAATGGTTTTGAAGTGCAATCTGCGAGCCAATCAAGAAGTGATTTAGACGGAATAGGGGTAAAAGCAAACTGCAACAAGCGGTAACTACACAGCTCAAATTAATTATGCAATTAATTTTCGGTGATATATTTTATGTTAAGAGCTTGCTACGTTCTCTACACTATATTATAGCGGGCATAAAAGATGTAATAATGCATAATAAAGTAGGAGGAAAATTGCATTCTGAGTGATGTTTCCTAGTTCGCCCGTTTTACACACTCGCATCTCCTTGGGGAAATAATGCTTTAAATAAAGCACAATAAGAAGCATTGCTTAAAATGCACGTGAAAATAGTTCCATTTCGTATTATGTATCCAAAGTACAAGTTTTAAGCATTTCGTAAAGAGCGTTACGGTAAATGGAATTGAAATTTTTGCATAATAAAATGCGATAAAAGCTACAATGGATTCTGCTATTATTATACCAAGAGAGGATTTATGGAAAGGGTTCAGTATTTTTTGAAAAATTGCCTTTATTATGCTATGTAAGTCGCCTTGTGAAAAGTATTGAATTATCTTATGAAAAGCAATAAAATTGGTATCTTGCTTCGAATTACATCTGTCTGTTTTATAAGATCGAAAGTGTTTACTAAAGGCCTCAGATGGAATAAAACGCTATAAAATTTCCGATCAGATGTTGCAATCTGGTAAAAGCTTTTTAACACAAACAAATTTTCGAACACATCACTTTTCATTTCGATACACATATTAATCAAGGAGCGGGTTTTACTGAACGATGATTCGCTACAGCATTAAGAATGCAAACACGAATAACCTCATAATCCCTTGTATCCACTTTAGTAGCATAAACCAAGTCCAAAGACAAAAATGGCGAAAATGTATAGGAGTGAGATCCGGCCGTCTCGGTGGCCAAAGGGGCGGGCCACCTCTGCCAATCCAGCAATTGCCGAAATGGGTATTCAGAAAATGCCCAACATTATTTGGAAAATCAGAAATCGCCTAATTAAAGAAGAGATGCACAGTTGTAAATTGGGTTGTTGCGTGGCTTGAGGATTTTCCTCCGACCACCGATGATTATTGGGGCAATTGCTAGTTTGGGTTAGTTACATTTCAACAATCGTCTGTTTGCACGAATCCACTGACAACATTTAAATATTAAAGAAAAATTACCTTCTTGGAGATTTTGTACTTCTGTTCTAAACCCGGCAAAGTTTGTAATGTTATATTATAAAGTTTTTAGGACACTAGTGTTTCAAATTGACATTTGATTAAATAAAATACGTTTTATATCAATTTTTTGTTAGTTACTTACAACTTATGAGCTTATTTTGACTGAATCGCCTTGGATAAATACAATGTTTTCTATTATTTTAATTTAAAAAATTATTTTTGTTTTTGCAGCTAAACATCCGTCGACCTGGAACGAGGTGTTAGCTGGTGGTAAGTCTTACTCAAGCTTATTTTAACCGATTAAATACAACGTACATATAAAGACTCAAGGCACGTTACACACTAATGGAATAATATGTATTTTGTAAATGTTATCTTTTGTATGAGCAAATTATTTTAAATTAGAAATAAACCACTTCATTCACCCTTCAGCTTAAAAAGATGTAGAATCTTTTTAAGCCGAAGCTAATTACTTCACTAACAAGAAACCTTGAAAAAAAATGCAGTGTTAAGGCATGAAAGAAAATCGAATATTCGTCGGTAGACAATTCAATTTTCTCCTGTATATAAAGAAAGGCAAAGCCTCTATAAGCCGGGTAAATTTTGTTGATCTGAATATCAAAAGCGATGTTATTGAAGAATAAAATTGTCACTTTGAGTGTGTTTTGGAAATCTTATAATGCTAAAAAATTTGAATTTTTATTCTTCAATCAATCTGGTGTGTTGTAAAATTTGAATTTACATTAGATCGTTTCACAGTGAATGCGTATATTTGTCTCTAAAATAAAACAGTTCATCACTGCTTTTACGTAACCGTTCAGATATCGCCATCCAATAAATCAAGCGTGTTACTGAATGTTTTTCTAAACAACATTAATCTTCTCCGTTAGGGCAAATTTAAATTAAGTTCCCAAAAAAAGGTTAAACTCACTAAAATAATGAATTCTTTCAATCTAATACGTGTTAGCATACATTTTATCTTGTAAAGGAGCATTGATTGGGCAACATTTTGGCGTGTATACGCAAATGTAAATATTAATCGTTAGACTTATTCTATAGAGTCTAAATAAACAGCGTCATTACCGCAAAATCAAATTGGTATCAAGGATACGTATGGTTTATCTTGGATATGGATGTTTGTTGTATTACTTTGCAAATACATACGTGTTTTTGTTGGGTTAGCCTGCAAAATAATCTATTTTATGTCCTTAAAGGCAATTAACGTGGAATGTAAATATGGAAACTTTATAACATCATTCATCATCATCATCATCTAAAAATACAGACTAACTTCTTTTGAAATTCATTTTTCATTTCAATTAATATTTACATTTTATTCAAATTCTTTTCTTGCAAAGTTTTCTATTCGTATTTTCAACTTTCGTATGCAGTAAATAATTTATTTCCATTCCAAAGTTTTGGTTGTTAATACATAGTACCTTGGAAACTCCAGCTTCGGCGGGCTTTGTCTTTCACTTTGCAAAAAAGTTCTTTTGTTAAATATAAAGTTCATTAACGAACATTAAGCAGTGCTAACTTTCAAGTCGCTATTTATCTGAATTCGCGTTTTGGTATTTTAGTTGTAAAACTGAGCTTTACATTTTGTATTTGTGTTCATGGATTTGAACGCATTTAATTACATTTTAATTAACATGATCAACTACTAAACTACTAATATTAATTACGTTTATTACATGGTATTTTTGTCAGCTAAGGGAGGTATTTCAACTGCGAAAAGTAACTTTAACAGGTACTTACATGAGATCGTAGTTTCTCCACGTTCCTTCCTTCATTAGGTCCTGAGAGAATTAACCTGTTCGCCTTTAACATAATGTATTCAACCCCCCATTAGACAGCATGCTGTAATTATAAATCTCTTTATTATTTAACATGAATTATGAGGGTGAGCTGCGTTGTAGAGGGTGAGATTGATGAGCGGAGTAATCTGAATTTTTAATAGTAGACCAAACGCGATAGTTGACAGTTCAAGAAATTACTCCGAAATTAACATTGCTGGTCAAGTAATTACTGTTTTAATCACCCCCAAACAGTGGCAAATTTTTAATTTACATAACTCAAATTTTGATTTTACTCAATCCATACAGCAAAAACCTGTTTATTAATTTTGAATTTGTTCATTAATTGCTGATCGTTTTAAGTATGTTCGTCTTCTTTTGATTTTTTTTTATAGCAAATGCTTATTTAATTAATAATTTGCTGAAAATGTTGCAAAGAGCGAAACTTAAACAACTTCAAAGTCTGTAGTATTCTTGCTTGCAGATACTATTGAGGCAAATTTACCAAAAATCTTAGATTCTCTTCCCGAAGTTGAAGCTCTTGTGGCTGTTATTTTTCTCCAAATTAGTAAATTTTAAAGATACATCTAATAATCTTCGCTTGTTTTCCAAAGAACGAAAACATTAAAAACCAACGCATTAACATTATTTACGAGGCGCGTTAATTTCTTAAATACATAAAATGTTGCTTCACATTCAGGAGAGTCTCGCCTTGCCATGGACCAACCTTGTTAGAGGTTCGGTAGTTTCATTTAGCAAGTTCCGATGTTTGCAAACGTCATTATTTTCCATTTATCAACATGATTTGGATATTTCATCTTAAGAATCATGAAAATTGCAATAGAATTTTGTGTAAGCCGTAAGTGTTTTGTAAGTGCATTGACCGCTTATCTCTTGATGTTACGAATAGTTCATCTGAAGTGTAATTCAGACAAAGCTTAGTGACGAATTATGTATATTTGACATGTGTTTCACCCCTGGTGAGCATGCAGATGTGTAAACAGATGTCCATATTCAAAATTACACACTCTTCAAATGTGATAAATGACTGGAACCATAATTAAATAAAAGGTTTACTCAAGATTCCGTAATTAGATTAGTTTCCACTTGTTCTTTCACAAAAATAGCGGTTCTCTAATTTCAGAAAAACAAGCTATAAACCAGTCAGACAGAAGGATAAAATGTGTTAATTGTCTTTTCACTTAAGCTGGAAAGCCATTTAAAAAGATCGACTTTAGAAATTTCAGATTCGCTAACTTCAGCCCAATTTAATTAACTTAATGATCTTCCGTCTTAGTCTTTGATTAAAAAGCAGACTAGCTTAAATTTAGGAGCCCAATTTGATTAGAAGTTCCCGTTTCTTACTATCTATTTAGAAAACTTTATAGGAACGTATCCGTAGGGAATTAGCTAAGTTTAATAATCTATTTATTGGGCTGCAACTATTCCGGAATATGTTCTCACACTGTGGCTGCAAGTGCCTACACATCAATCTTTCTATTGTCCAATTTCATTAAGGAAACATTAATAGGAAAACTTGTTAATACCCGATTAGGTTTGAAGTGTTTTGCAAGAATTATGCCATGTTCTGCTTTATGGCCTTAGAACAATGGGCATCTTCACTTTTGCCATCAACGAAACTTTAGTTATATGGGTGAGCTTTATTTGTTTAAATAGGTATACAGTAAAGTATAATTTTGATGTCTTTAAATACTGGTAATATTTGCTCTCTAACCATTCTTTACCGTTGGAATCTTACAAAAACCAATAAAATAACTGAGTTTTACTACTGAAAAACTCATAAAACTGAACTGTATCCAAGCAATTGTTGTCACTCATATTTTCAAATTAACGCAAGAAACGCCTAAATTGTAGCCAAATTCAGTTGTTCTCACCAAGCTCATTTATATAACATTTATATAATTTGTATAATCCTTACTTAATTGCTTTGTTCGTAAATCGATTCGAAATTTAACACTCGACTAACTTTCTAAACCTGACCAAATAAATTATAATCCATGATCAAAACAATTCTGCAGATACTGCAAAGTTGAAAATTTAGAATTTAATATAAATTTATTCATTACTAGTGGCGATAAAAAAACTGCGTCAGGTCGCTTCAATAAATACTTGGATTTAGCTCGATTAGGAAATCCCCGCATCGGAGTTACTTGTTAATAAATCGCACAATGCGAACCATAATTGGTCAGAAAACTTTCATTGATTAGACACAAAAGAATGCTATGTCACTGGCTATTGCAAATGTAATCTAGTTATTTAATAAGCAAGCTTAAACCCGCAAGGGCAGCGAAAGATTCAAAGATCCTGATCATTATCCGAGTATGTTATTCGAATACGTAATTTATCCGTTACTCGATTTGTCAGTGTTTAAATATTTAAATGGAATCAATTTAATTTAGTTAGCTATCGAATGAATAATCCCTAATTTATTGAGAGCAGAACGTTTAATAAAAGACCAGACCTGGAGACATAAAAACCGCATAGTAAAATGAAAGCTGCTCCCTTAAATTATTGCGAAACAAACACTTATAGTGAAATCAAATCAAAAATTAATCTGCGTTTAGGGTTTTTCATAATGTCACACATTTGGCTTTTGTGAAAACATTCATATTTAAATTTAAAGGCTAATTTTCTTTCATTTTTAACTGCCAATTGTTGCCCTTCAACGATAAAAATTGCATAATAAATCACTCTCCAATGCTGTTCAGAAAGCTATTAGAATTCTAGAAAAACGTACGGCTAATCGATCAAACTATCTGGTTAACATAGTGGCTACGTCCATAAATCTCTTTCGTTTCAAGAAAGCTCAATTTGGGAATCCTCGAATTATCTCGTTCAAACACCATAAAACGAAATGGTCCGTCGATTCTCCTCGCTTTATCCAAAGTCAAACCGTAGAATAGAAAAAAGGGAGGCATTCAAAAATAAGAAGTTTTGCAACTAAAATATAAATTATTTGTAGTAGAATTTTAAAATGTTCTTTAATGCACTTAAGCATGGTAATTACTTTGGAAAGATCGCTCGGCTGAATGTAATTTGTACGGTCTACGTCACAAATATATCATTCATTAATTTTTAAAATTGAAAATTATTTGCACTGTTCACGCTTTGGTCTGGACAGGTCAAGTGACGGCTATTTTAATATATCGTTCAGAGTGGCATTTGTTTCAGATTCACATTGCTTAATTAAACACCAGTTTGTTTTATTTGCCAATAGACTTTCTAATGGAGAAATATTAAATTTGAAAATCTTATGTAACTTGCAAATTTATCGGCTAATTTGGTGAATCAAATTCAAAATTCCCAAATTTTTCGGAGATTCAACTTGAATTTAATACATTCGACTGTAACTTTCTATTTTGCTGCGTAGTGGATAATTTTGAAATTATGCTGTTTGAATGTTCCTTCTACAAACGGTGTCATTTAATTAAATTGTTCCCGGTGTGCATTAAT